GGCAAATCAGCCATTGACTTGTTAAGTGCCTGAGTGGGACGAGACACAGTGAATCTTCTTGAGTAGAAGCAAAACAGAGATTTCTCCAGCCAGCAGTACAGATTCCCATTTTTTCCTCAAGATTTCACCTGGGGGAGAGTGTGTATATAATGCTGCCACATGGAATATTATTAAACAAACCATTGGGCTGCTTAATGCAACATTTAAACCTCCTGGATCACTCTGAAGGAGCCATGCAGTTTCCTGTAGACACGGCCTGTTGTATTCTCCCTGGCCTGCTGTATTCTGCACAAACTCAGCCTGAAAACACACACAACCCCTACCATCAGGAATATGCTGAGTGGCTGAAGAGGAGGAAGGGCAGGGGAAAGAAAATGCTGGGGAGTAGCAGGAGATAAGAGGAAGGAAAGAACAACCTCCACATCCCCTTTCTGTCCAGTCAGCATGTGATCAGCTCATATGGTATCCGTGGTATCAGTGAATGCAATGCCAAGTCCCCATTCCCCATCAATCCCATACCTGACAATACCTCAGTTGTCACCTTGGTTATAAAACAAACATTCCAAAATAACTTTGTCAAATGAACTATCCAATATTTCATGCAAAAGTCAATTACGGAATTTTTAAAAATTATTTGTGGGATGTGGGCATCATTGGTGGGCCAAAATTTATTACTTGTTCCTAATTGGCCTTGAGCAGGTGAGCTGCCTGGCTCGATGTCAAGTGGTCCACCTGGTTTTATTTCCTTGTTGAGACTTTGAGGCGATTTATACAACTGAGTAGCTTGCTAGACCATTTCAGAGGGCAGTTTAAAGTTAGCTACTTTGCTGTGGGTCTGGAGGCACATGTAGGCCAGACCAGGTGAGGATGGCAGATTTCGTTCTCTGAAGGACATTAGTGAACCAGATGAGTTTTTCCGACAATGGTCATCACTAGATTCTTAACTCCAGATTTTTTTTTGATTGAATTCAAATTCCACCACCCTACCAGGATTTGAACCACAGTCCCCAAAGCATTTATTGAGTTTCTGGATTAATGGTCTAATGATGATATCACCAGGCCATCACCTCCTCTATATTTCATCCTATACATTATCTTGGTTCCTGCCTTCCATGACCTTACTTTTCCGGCTCAGTGTTAACCCAGTGCCTGCAGTATAGCTGGTGAAACATTCACAATGGGGAGACTGTAGATGATCTGAGTGCATTTCAGCCATCCACATTTCTGTGTCATTTGTATTGGTATGAAGTCACTTAATGCTGGGTTTAGTATTGGGTATATGCTGAAATCATGTGATTGAACAAACAACATGGAGTTTCTGTACTGTAAGGATTGGCATGGATTACCAAAGCATCATCATGCCCACACCCCTTTCTGGGGCCTCTGCAGTTTTGTCCGATAACCTTTGACGAAAGTATTAAGTGGAAAAAGTCCTCCATCAGTGCAGTGATTGTAATGAGGTCAGCCAGATGGTCCTTATAGAGTATGAGTTCCCTAATTGGCGTTGTTAATCTGGTCCAGTCAGAGCGTCCTGGCTGACAAATAATAACAGGAGTTCAGGGGTTCTGTTCACTCTGAAAGCTGGCTCTGAGGGAGCTGGATCAGTGTCGAGGACTTTCCATATGTAAATAAAGGGTGACTTGGTGATGGGATACTGGCCTCTGTGGAATTATTTCAGTGCCCCTGGAAATGAACCTTGGCATAAGTTGCTTCTTTTAGGTTAGTGAAACTGAAAAGCTGTATGTTAACATTTGTGGAGTGGAAAAGTGACCCTTCCCTGTGTGTTAATTATTTTCTGTCTGTCACTGTCATTATGAACAAAAACAAACAGTCTAATGTTCCAATAGTGCTATTTGAAGACTTGAATTTTATTTCTCTCTTCCTGGGAGAGTACAGACTGTTGCAAGTAAAATGTGTCTGGGCAGGTTGTTTGGCAAGCTCTGTGAACTCACAGGCTTTTTCCTGTCTGTAATTTCCATCTGCTTTCTCAATAAACAGTGAGAAGATTTGTTGCTTTTTTCCAACAGTTGTTCCTGCTATTTGTAACTTAATTGATTCATCCGTCCCAGCAATTCGTAATTGACTTAACAATTTTACTTTGGTTCAGAGAGTATTTAGCTTTTAAGATAAATGCCCTTTGGATAGTAAATTATAGAAAGTTTATTAAAGAAGGGTGAAAAAGAGATAATAATAGCAACTGAAAACTCTGACCAGACTGACAGTCATTATTCCAGTGTATATAGGGAGTTGAGCATGAGGACCTTGTGAAATCCCCATAGCACCACGCTCCAAGTGAATTCCCTGGGAGTTGAATTTTCCATCAGTCAATTCTTAGCCTTTAACTTTCCTAAAGACTCTCTTCAAATCAGTGCTTGGAGAGTTTTCGTGAAATTGAGTAAAATAGTTGCTCAGGAGTCATAGTTATTAAATACCTAGTTTAACTCTTGAGTGACAATGGGCTTCAACCACATTAGCTTACTAGAAAAATAATGTAAACACTCAGCCAGATTTCCCTTTTGGGGTTTGGTGTCCAGAGACAGGAAAATCCCTGGGACATCACAGTGAACTTGACGTTTAAAAATTGCTGTCCCATTTCCAATTTCCACTCACAGCGTCAGCTGGTGCATGTTCCCTACAGATGGATGGTGAGGCCCATGATATCTGCAATCATAGAGGCATGCAGCACAGAAAAGGGCCTACTGCTCAGCCAGCATAATCATCTGCCTGTACTAGTCTCACTTTGCTACACTCGACCCACAGCCTTGAATGTAATGATATTTCACTTGCTCATAAACATAACTTTTTAAAGGTCCTTATGTCAATCAAGAAGGTATGGTGTGAGCAGCCAGCCAACTGGTGGTTCATCAACATCAAGCAAAATATCACAGAGCTCCTCACTGGAGGACCAGATAACAGCAGGCCAGGCATTGTAGGGTAGGGAATAGTTACAAGCCACATTCTTTAAGCATCACTTTTATCAGCTTCACATTCCAGTGTAATAAATTCCTTTTATTTTAGGTACAGGGCATCCCCAAGCATTGACGTTACTGAAGGCAACTGATGCCAGCTGTCTGAGGGTAAGCATAGTATCAGTTCAAGTGCAGAGAACTTGTTTCAAACATGGGCCCTGGAGTCTTCATCATTCCGATAAGCAGCACACATCCAGTTGAAATATACCACGATTCCTGCTCTCCATGTTAGGGCTTCAGTAGGCTATGCAATACCATGTGGCCTACTGGCTGAGGTTGCGGTGTTTTTTTTGTGGCATTGAATGCCAATTTATAAGAATGCTTTTTCAGTGGGTAATCAAAAACCCAAGTCTGTTTATATCTAACCTTTAAGGTACAAATCCTTACAAGCAACAGAAATAGAGCAACTATCATTGAACCAACAAGTGCCTTTAACTTACCTGCAACATAACTTCAACTCATTTAACACTTATTACAGATTACAGTCAAATATTTTTGTATTAATTAGTATCCATGGTCATTTATCATAAAATCCAAGGAAAAAAGAAAGTGTAGATATTGAAGTGAGCAGAGTTAAAAGTTAATGTTTTAGTGAGATGGACATTAACTAGTGGAATATCTTCACAAAATTGAATGAGGCTTGATTTATATGTTGGAGAAGCAACCACTGCTGGCTAATGGTTGGGGCAGAGTGCTGCTACCAATCCTCCTTCTATAAAGGTCTAAGGGCCTGCTTGGTTAGCAGTGGTACAGGAGGAACCACAAGTCAGGCTTCACAAGAAGAGACATTGTCTTAACAACAAGCCATAGTTGACTGCATGATAGAAATGGGTCTCTGTTATATTGGTTAAACAGACGTAGTTACTTGGACTTACAGGAGCCTGGGATGATACACTTAACACTGCCAGGATCTAGAGTGGCGGCATGGTGGCTCAGCGGTTAGTACTACTGCCTCACAACACCAGGGATCTAAGGTTGATTCAACTGTCTGAGTGGTGTTTGCACATTCTCCCCGTAGTCTGCATAAGTTTCCTCCCACAGTCAAAAGGCGTGCAAGTTAGGTGGATTGGCCAGGATGAATTGCCATGTGGTGTGTGCAGGCCAGGTGGATTAGCCATGGGTTTACAGGTAGGGGGTGTGGGTCTAGGTGGGATGTTCTTCAGAGCGTTGGTATGGGCTGAATGTCCTGCTTCCACACTGTAGGAATTCTATGTTTAGAGCCTGACCCCTTGTTTCAACAATGAAGATTGTATGACATAGTCAGATTGAATGACATTTAATGCAGTCTTCAACATTAATTCTTTCAGAATCATTGTCTTGAACAATGCGCTAGAGTTACCCACCTTTTGGAATTGCTTTTGGAAAGGTTGGGAATTGAACTTTAATATCCTAAATACTGCCATGAGCAAGCCAGAAGAAAAACATTGGAATACGTTCTTCTGAAGAAGTGTCACTGAAATATTGTCTTTGTTTTTCTCTCCAAAGATGCTGCCAGACCTGCTGAGTTTCTCCAGCTACTTCTGATATTTTGTTTCTGATTTCCAGCATCTGTAGTTGTCTTCTCTAAAGTAAATGGTGTTGCTTTCCATATTTACTTAAGAATTTCATTTAGTTCCAAAGTGTTGCAGATGGAGGTATTAGCAGTGAATTGAACATCAGTGAAACAAAATGAAATGTCAATTTAATAATGGGAAAGATGTAGTAAGAAGATGATAAACAATGCAAGCTTATCACAGCTTACTCAAAAGAAAACCAATTCAAGGAAGTTTGCTATGAAAATGGCATAACAAGGATGCAGGCCTATCTGGTTAGGTCAAGCATTTCCTCACATTGCACTCCATCTGCCTGATATTTGCAATGTGAGGAAATGTGAAATTGTTCAAGAATAAAAAAAGGTATTACTTAAACGGAACATGATCACAGGATTCTGACAGACAGAGGAATCTAATGAGTGAGTCATAAAGGCTATTATGTAGGTACAGCACGTAATCAGGAAGACGAATGCAATGCTATCCTTTATTATGACAAAAATTAAACAAGAACCTAAGGATCAAGATCAGAAATTGCTGGAGAAACTCAGCAGGCCTGTGGAGAGAAAGCAGAGTTAACATTTCGGGTCAAGTTGTCCAAGTGGGTCTGGAAAGGACGTTCCTCTTGTAGGTTAGTCCAGAACTTGGGGCCACTCTTTTAAAATTAGGTGTTGTCCTTTTAGGACAGAGATGTTGGATTTCTTTTTACTCAGAAGGTTGTGCAACTTCGGAACAAGAAGGTGGGGTCATTGAATATTTTTAAGGCAGAGGTGGGTAGATAGTTGGCAACATAAAATTCCGAACACAAATAGATTGGCCATGATCTTATTGAATGGTAGAGCCATCTTGAAAGGCCAAATGGCCTACTGCTGCTCCTATTTTGTACGTTTGTATTTACGTACATATGAGCAGGGCGTTGATGGAGTGGGAATCTTTTCAACGGACGAGCTCTGCGGAATGGCGATATGGTGCTCTCAACAAAAGCAATGTGAGTGCTGTCCATAGCACACAACACCCATGGGAAGCCAGTACTGTGGGACAAGTCCCCTGCCCAAGCTGCTGGATTCTTCTTGTCAGGGGCAAGTGTTGTAAATTGTTGCAATGTGGAGAAGTGTGGCTCCTCAGAGGCTTTTGTGTCCTCCCAAGGACCGAGAGACGCTCAGATCCCCTGGAATTCCTTGGAACCAGCTGCTGGAATAAAACTTCAGTGCGCCTTGATGGGCATGAGGATGGGATGGTCACCCACTTCCTACGTTTGAGTCCTATTCCAGTAAATGGCACAGTTTGGTGATGATGACCCGGGTAATCCTTCATCTTCACCTGCACTGGTTCCCTGACAGCTGTAGATAGTGACAATGAGGTCGGTATATTCGGCCTCTAGTCATTCTGCTCCACCTCCTCAGGGGGATGTTCAGCTGCCAGATCTCCCTCTGGAAGCTGTGAAAGAGCTGCTGACCCTTCCTCTTGTTGCTCGACTTGGAGCTAACATTCCAATTGATGTCTCCTTTAATACTGCCATCTGATTGCTAACATTGCCACAAAGAACCTTCCAAGTATTTGACGGAAGATAAGTGAGTAGAGAGTCTGTGGGGTCTGTCAGAAATAGAACAGCACATCAGGAATGGTACTCCTGATCCCTCACATCAATTTCAGTAGAAGCACTTTGTTATGGTCTCTGACTTAACTGCACAGAGGTATTGCTTTTCTAAGGAGGCCAATGGTATGCCTTGATAAGGAGCTCTGATCTACATAAATTTATACAGAGGCATGTTGAAGATCACACTTTTCTCCACTCTAATGCAGCCCCTTCCAAAAAAAATGCCACTCTTCAGTATCATAGACCGTATCAACTCAAACTAGGTGCACATTATGGCAGCTCCAAACTATTGTGCTGCAGTGTCAGGTATGAAAAGTCATATAGAAATGGGAAAGCCAAGTGAGATTTGTAAGTCTGTGTCTGCATAGCTTTGTATCAATTAATATGTCAGATATGGAAAGCAAATAGCAGTTATGATTGCCTGAGGTGATAATTTGTAATGTTTATGTTTACTACAAGAATGACCTCTCAATAGAATCCAATTTGATGACAAAAAGTTGGGATTATAGATTAGTGAATGCATAATTATTACTGTTGCATGGAGCAGGGTCTCAGGTGCAAACCATTGTATTTCACCCCGAAAGGGAATATCAAGAACTTCCTCTGCCCACTCTGCATATGGAGGCTGTCTCATTGTCTCTTTATTGAACAGTTAGGTCTGGTGACATTTCAGCTTCATGATTTTGCTAGTTACAGGCTCTGCCTTAGATTAACCTTCCCTTCCATCCTTCATGCTCCTTTTTGTGTTATCGTCCCTTCATCCCTGATGGCCTTTCAGTCTACCCTGTTTATTTCAGCACCTTTACGTCATTGTTAATGTACCCCATTTACTCTCTGAGCCCAGGGCTTTGCAAATAGTCATGTCCCTGTTGGCCATATACTATCCTCACATTGAGGCTGGTGTGATTTTAAAATGCGCAACTCACTGCCCTCCCACAGCTCCCAGCCTCCTCTTACGCTCAGTGAGATACCACTCTTCTATCTCGAATTTTTCCTATTCACCGTCATCTCTCCCTGATTAACACAGGCTAATGAAGCTGAATACTGGAGTTGGGCTTCCAACTTTCCCCAGGACTGTGCAGATAGATCCTGGCTGAGCCCAGTGACTCTTAATTTCCAAACACCCAAGGCTGAACTTCACTAGCCCCCCACATCATCCCAGCTCCACTGCAGTCTGACTTGGGAGGACAACTCCAACTGAATACAGTCAGACATCTCCACAGCACCCCGGCTGACGTTTCCATAGCGACACGGCTGACGCCTCCATAGCACCCTGACTGATGTTTCCATAGTGCTCCTGCTGATGTTTCCGCAGTGCCCCGCCTGACATATCTGTGGTCCCCAGACTAGTTGCACGAGACCAGTGGGGCTGACTGTGACTCAATCTGCCGACTGCCAGATCCCCAGAAACTGGTCCAACCCTGAACCTTCCTGACCACGGGAAACCCCCTGGGCAGAGATTGGATGAGTCCTTTGACTGACTATAGCTGCTCTCCCCTGACTCACCAATAGTCCCACAGTACTCCACAAGGAACCGGTCTCCTTTGACTTACAGTCTTGAGGCACATATAGTGTGTTTGCTGCAGAATCTGCTAGCACGAGCTGCAAGTGTGACACTGACTTGGCACAGTGTAATACAGCAACATACCCGTTCTCTTGATGGTTTTGCTTGGTACTGAGCTGCCTGCCTTTCCCTTTGCACTGAAGAGCATTGCAAGCCCAAGAGCCTGGCAGCCTCCAAGTCACTGCAAAGTTATTTCTTAGCACTAAGAATGTAACCTAAGATTTGCTTTAATTTTTGTCACATGTACCCAAGTACAGTTTTGTTTTTTGTGCAGTACAGGTAGATCATACCATACAAAGATCATAGGGTGTTTGAGCAGAGTGAGAAATACAAAGTAATGGCTGCAAAGAGGCTTAAAAATCAAGATCAACATTAGATTTGAAATTTGAAAGGTCCATTCAGAAGAGTAACAACAGTGAGGAAGAAGCCGTTCTTGAATTTGTTGCTATGTGTGTTTAAGCTTTTGTAACTTCTGCCCGACAGATTGTAACTGGGCTGGGAGGGGTCTTTAATGATGTTGGCTGCCTTTCCAGTGTTGATGATTATCTTGGGGGAGGTGCTGTTGCCTATCTTCACTGATTGTAGTCTGGAAGTCGAGGATCCAGTTGTAGAGAGCTGAGTAGAGACCTAGGTCTCGGAGTTTGGATGCATATGATTCATCCAGAGCGTGTCTCTGCATGCAAACTGTGCAAATCAACCATATTCATGAATTCCAAAGTGAAGTCTTGAAGGGTTGGAGCCTTAAGGGAACGAAGTGTGGAGGAGGAAAATGTTGATGGTGCATGCAGACAGCTGCTTACGCTAAGCAACCTCTACATTGTGAAATGGCACTGTCTACTATTTTCAGGGAAGGAGGGGAGAATGGGGAGCTGCATAGAAATGAGATGAAATTCTTTGCTTATGAGTTCCAAGTGCATGGAAATAAGATAGTCAGTGTTCATGAATGAGATCCAGAACTCATTGGTTAAACATTAAAAGGGAATTCGGAATTTTTTTCTTTCGATGTTGGAAATCTTGCCATGTTTTTCCACTTCCTCAGTACTGAGGGTGTGGGATAATCTCACACACTCTATGTTTTCACCTTTCAATGGTCTAAACCACACAAGAATGCCTTCATTTCTTTAACTATAGACATGGACTTTGTGTGACAGCTCTTTTGAACGCATTTCTGGTTTACATTTTCAATTATTTCAGCCCATTTTACACAAAGGCACGGCATCCCTCTTTGTTCTATAAAGCCCAAATCTGTCCACGCTTCAAGCATTGCTCCCGTATTTTCTATTCATTCCCTCATATTTCTAAACAGGAGTCCAGCTAAAAGCAATAATGTGATTTGTTCTTATTCTCTCATGGGATGTGGGCGTCGCTGGCTGGCCAGGATTTCTTGCCCATCCCTAGTTGCCCTTGAGAAGGTGGTAGTGAGCTGCCTTCTGGAACTGCTGCAGTCCATGTGCTATAGGTAGACCCACAATGCCTTTAGGGAGGGAATTCCAGGATTTTGACCTGGTAACACTGTAAGAACGGTGATATATTTCCAAATCAGGATGGTGAATTTCAAGGGAACTTGCAGATGGTGGTGTTCCCATGTACCTGCTGCCCTTGTCCTTCTAGATGGAAGTGGTTGTGGGTTTAGCAGGTGCTGTCAAAGGATCTTTGAATTTCTGTTGAGCATCTTGTAGACAGTACACACTGCTGCTACTGAGCGTCAGTGGTGGGGGGAGTGGATGCTTGTGGATGTGATGCAAGTCCAGCAGGCTGCTTTGTCCTGGATGGTGTCAAGCATCTTGAATGTTTTTGGAATTGCACTCATCCAGACAACTGGGGAGTATTCTATGAAACTCCTGACTTGTGCCTTGTATACAGTAGAAAGGCTTTGGGGAGTCAAGAGTTAAGTTAATCACCACTGTGTTCCTAGACTCTGACCTGCTCTTATAGTCACTGTATTTATGTGGTAAGTCCAATTGAGATTCAGGACAATGATAACACCAGGATGTTGAGAGTGGGAGATTCACTGATGGTAACTTCATTTCATGTCGAAGGGTGGTGGTTACATTGTCTGGCATTTGTGTGGTGCGAATGTTACTTGCCATTTGTCAGCGTAAGTCTGGATATTGTCCAGATCTTGTTGCATTTGAACACAGACTGCTTCAGCATCTGGAGAGTCGTGAATGGCGCTGAACATTGTGCAACCATCCCCATTTCTGACCTAATGATGGAGGGAAGGTCATTGATGAAGCAGCTGAAGATAGTTGGGCCTTGGACACTACCCTGAGGAACTCCTGCAGAGATGTCCTGGACCTGCGATGACTGATCTCCAACAACCACAATCATTTTCCATTTGCAAGATATGACTCTAACCAATGGAGAGCTGGCTAAGGCTCCTTGATACACACTCGCCTGAATACAGCTTTGATGTCAAGGGCTGTCACTCTCACCTCACCTCTGGAATTCAGATGTTTTGTCCATGTTT